AAATGCGCTTCTGGAAGAATGGTCAAACCTTTCCATAGACACATTCCTTGGGGTTGGCCCCTTAGTTCCAGTGAAGGGAACTCTTAAGGCATCAGCATACTAAGACATTTTGGACAGTTTCATGCTCCAAACTTTGTGGGAACAATTGGGAGATGATGGCCCCTTCCTGTTCCGACTTGACTGCGCCCCAGTGCACAAAGCAAGGTCCTTAAAGACATGGCTGAGTGAGTTTGGGACTGAGGAACTTGACTGGCCTCAACTCGATAGAACACCTTTGGGATGAATTAGAGCAGAGACTGCGAGCCAGGTAGGGACCGAAATTTCGGTGGCCGAAACGTTTCAGCCCAAAACACCCCTTGCGGCCGTTGGCCGAAATTTAAAAAAAAAAGAGCACCAATACAGGTGCTGAAAAAACCTCGCTGCCGCTCGCTAGTTCTCAGCCTTACCTGAGAAACCATGGGTCTCAGCGCTGGGCATAGAGATGAGTGAAGGAAAGATGGCTGCCACTCATCTTTATGTCCTTGGAGAACCGGAGCGATGTCACTTCTCGTTCCAGCCATTTTTTTTTTTTTTATATTTCACAGCACTAGATCAATGCTTTTTTTGATCCAATGCTTTACATTGTAGAAGAGAGATTTGGGGTCTTATTGACCCCATCTCTCTCCGTAAAGAGGACCTGTCACTGCTTATTTCTATCACAAGGAATGCATGCAGTTCTTGTGATAAGAATAAAAGTGATTAAAATCACTTTTATCAATGGATTAAATACATAAAAAAAAAAAAAAAAAGTTTAAAGTGCCCCCGTCCCCCCCGTTCTCGCATTTAGTGGTGAACGCATACGTAGGCCATGCTCACATATGTAAATGGTGTTCAAACCACACATGTGAGGTATCACCATGAACATCAGAGTAAGAGCAATTACTCTAGCACTAGACCTCCTCTGTAATGTTACACTGTTAACCTGAAGACATTTTTAAAGCATCACCCATGGAGATTTTTAACCATTTCAATACCGTGCAATTTTACACCTTCCTGCCCAGGCCATTTTTCACGTTTCAGCGCTCTCACACTTTGAATGACAATTGCGAGGTCATACAACATTGTACCCAAACTAAAATTTTATCATTTTCTTCACACAACTAGAGCTTTCTTTTGGTGGTATTTAATCACCGCTGGGGTTTTTATTTTTTGCTAAATTAACAAAAAAAGACCAAAAATTTTGAAAAAAAAAACACGTTTTCTTTGTTTTTGTTATAAAAGTTTACAAATAAATAATTGTTCTTCATAAATTTAGGCCGAGATGTATTCTGCTACATGTCTTTGGTGAAAATAACCCAAATTAGGATGTATTATTTAGTTTGTAGGAAAGTTATAGAGTTCACAAACTATAGTGTATATCTGAATATTGATCAATCCTGAAGTACTGACAGCCAATCTAATTTCTTGAGGTCCAAGAATGTCAGAATAGTACAGATATCCCCCAAATGACCCCTTTTTGCAGAGTAGACAGTCCGACGTACTTCATAAGAGGCATGGCGAGTTTTTTGAAGTCGTATTTTTTTTGTCATAATTTTTCGGAAAATGAAAAAATTAAAAAAATTATTTTCACTTTTTTTTTTTACATACTGTCACCAGTGCAGTCACCAGTGCAGTACAACTGGCATGGCGGTGAACAGGGACACTGACTGGTGACAGTATGAAAAAAAAAAAATATATTTTTTTTTTTAATTTTTTATTACTTTTTTAATTTTTTTTAAGATTTTTTTTTTTCATATTTTACTATGACCAAAGTAGTACAATGTTACCATAGTAACATTGTACTACTTTGGGGAAGTGATCAGTATTTTTTTTTTTTTTTTTTTTTTTTTACACAATTTGCTTATAGCAAAGAATTACTTTGCTATAAGCAAGCATTTACCTGAATGAAATCGATTCATTCAGTTTTTTTTTTTTTTTTTTTTTTTTTTTTTTTTTTTTGTGCTTAGCTGTGATTTGGTCACAGCTATTCACATGACATGTGCATGTGATTAGCTGTGACCATTCACAGCTAGGCACTAGTATACAATGGATGGCATGAATGAAGCCATCCATTGTATACAACTGTCATGTGACCTGCTGTGATTGGTCACAGCAGGTCACATGGTACCAGCAACGAGGGCCGGTACTCAGATCTGTCATCGGCCGTGTCCAAGGTACACGGCTGGTGACAGATTGCGCCGCTGTGCGGCTCTGCATTAGCGCAAACTGCGCATGTGCGGGAGCACTTTTGAAGCCGCCAAACGGCCATTGGCCGGGCGGCTAATGGTTAAGTACCGCAGTTTCACGCCATTCCACGAACGTGCGCAATTTTAAAGCGTGACATGTTTTGGATCTATTTACTCGGCGTAACATCCTCTTTAGTATTTTACAAAAAAAAAATTGGGGGATATATTGTGGTTGGTTTTTTTTTTTATCTAAAAAATACATACCGTATTCCTTTTTAAAAACTGCGCATTTCAGTTTTGGTTTTCGGCCAAGTGCATTTTGAATTTTCTGTTTCGGCACCAGAATTTTCATTTCGGTGCACCACTAGAGCCAGGCCTTCTCATCTGACATCAGTGCCTTACCTCACAAATGCGCTTCTGGAAGAATGGTGAAATATTCCCATAAACATTCCTAAACCCTATGGACAGCCTTCCCAGAAGACTTAGAAGGGTGGATAATTAATTTATTTTTTTTTTTTTTTTTTTTTATTCCCACTGCACACTTTATTAGGTGCACCTTGCTAGTACCGGGTTGGACCCCCTTTTGCCTTCAGAACTTCCTTAATTCTTCGTGGCATAGATTCAACAAGGTGTTGGAAACATTCCTCAGATTTTGGTCCATATTGACATGATTGCACCACACAGTTGCTGCAGATTTGTCGGCTGCTCATCCAATGTGCGAATCTCCCGTTCCACATCCCGAAGATGCTCTACTGGATTGAGATCTGGTGACTGTGTAGGCCATTGGAGTACAGAGAACTCATTGTCCTGTTCAAGAAACCAATTTGAGTTTATTTGAGCTTTGTGACATGGTGCATTATCCTGCTGGAAGTAGCCATCATAAGATGGGTACGCAAGGGATGGACATGGTCAGCAACAATACTCGGGTAGACTGTGGCATTTAAACGATGCTCAGTTGATACTAAGGGCCCCAAAGTGTGCCTAGAAAATATCCCCCACACCATTACACCACCAGCCTGAACCATTGATACAAGCTAGGATGGATCCATGCTTTCATGTTGTTTATGCAAACTTCTGACCCTTCCATCTGAATATTGCAGCTGAAATCGAGACTCATCAGACCAGGCAATGTATTTCCAGTCTTCTATTGTCCAGTTTGGGGAGCCTGTGCGAATTGTAGCCTCTGCCTCCTGTCCTTAGCCTACAGGAGTGGCACCCTTTTGTGGTCTTCTGCTGATGTAGCCCATATGTTTCAAGGTTTGGATTGTTGTACGTTCAGAGATGGTATTCTGCATACCTTGGTTGTAACGAGTGGCTATTTGAGTTATTGTTGCCTTTCTGTCATTTTAAACCAGTCTGCCCATTCTCCTCTGACATCAACAAGGCATTTATGTCCATACAACTTCCGCTCACTGGAAATTTTTCTCTTTTTTTGGACCATTCTCTGTAAACCCTAGAGATGGTTGTATGTGAAAATCCCAGGAGATCAGCAATTTTTGAAATACTCAGACCAGCCTGTCTGGCACCAACCACCATGCCACGTTCAAAGTCACTTAAAGTGTTACTAAACCCACAACGGTAAAATCAGCCTGTATATGCAGTAAATCATGCTTCTTATACTCATTGTGGAACCTAAGGGGTTAATCCTCTGCATTGTGTAAATTATATTTTGTCCGGTTTTCTCCCCTTCTTCTACTGTCCCCCATCCACCTGCTGATAGCACAGAGCCTTGGGGGCAAGCTGCACATGCTCTCAGTGTGATGTGTATTGCTAGAGGTGGTTTTTTTTTTCCTCTTTGGAGAGTGCATGTGATCAGCACAGGACCAATTAGCGGTGTCCAGATAGAGGGTCTGGGGTTATGCAGCCTTATAGGACAATCGGGAGAAAATGAAAACTCCTCCTACAAGCTTTAACTAGTGCTCTGCTGGACACTGATAGAGCAGTCTTGTGACTTCTAACTGCTGATGAGAAAAGGTATTTAGCCGTTTTATACTTACTGAAATAATTGCATTTCCATGTTCTGTGTACTGTGTGAGAGACCAGATATAGTGAATGTAGGGTTCTGGGTTTAGTAACACTTTAACTCCCCTTTCTTCCCGATTCTGATGCTCAGTTTGAACTTCAGCAAGTCATCTTCACCACGTCTAGATGCGTAAATGCATTGAGTTGCTGCCATGTGATTGGCTGATTAGCAATTTGTGTTACCAAGCAATTGAACAGATGTACCTAATAAAGTGTGGTGTGTGTGTGTGTGTGTGTGTGTGTGTGTGTGTGTGTGTGTGTGTGTGTGTCATATATATAATTTGTGTGAACTTGCAATTCTTGACTTCCTGGTTTTCCAAGGTACTGTTGATGTAACCTTATTGTTTCCCACTAGCTCCCTTTTGGAAGGTTACATCACCATTGCCTTCCAGGGAAATCTAGATTGTATACTCTGTGGGGTATGTGACTTTGCCGTTCAGGTGCTGATATCACTGGTAGACCAGCCCCTAAAGTGCAGAATATGTCACCCACCTATGACAACTTTTAAGCCAATGCTCCTTTACTCTCCATGCGTGAGTGTACAGGAGCATTGGTAGGTGAGAAGAATAAAAACAATGAGGCAAATAATACATTTTCTAATACTACTTTCATTCAAGGTGAATGAAAGGCATTTATGTATGTTTGGGGGATCCTGGGATACAACATCTTGCTAAATGTTCATATGTATGTTTGTTTTTAAAAGTAAAAAAAATAACAATGTTGTTCTGTACAGCTGTGTATTGTGTTAATCAGTTTTGTTTTCTGTATTTGCAGGATGTGTTTATGTTTAGACATGAGCTAGCAATGCTCAGGATATCAACTTTTATGGGTATTGTCATGTTTGGAGGCATGTGCAGCCTTTTCTACACGCAGATTGAGGGTATACTAACAGTAAGTAACTTGTCTTTATTCATATTCTGTTTACTGATCCACAAAGCCACTTTTATATTTTTGGATTGTATGCTGTGGTTTTCCTCTGTGTTTTGAAAGAAAATGGCTGAATAATGCGTAAAAAAGCAAAAAAATGATAATCCCTATTAACAGCACCTTACAAGGCAGCAATAAAATTGGCCCCCATTCACACCAATATGATTTGTTATGCGATTTGACAGTTCAAAATCGCATGACAAGTTGCACCCTATTTGTGCCTATAGAAACGATCAAAGCATTGCGACTGTGACTTGCACCGATTTTAAATAATAAAAAAAAAAAAGTTCCTGTACTATTTTTAGTGATTATATGTGCGATTTATTGACATCTGTGCATGAATTCAGGCAGATGTCATCAAGATGCACATGAAATCACACTGACCAGCAGCTTTAAAATCGCGCTACTGCAAGTAGTGCAATTTTAAAGCCGCATTGAGTGTGAACCAGGGCTAAAGGTTACTTATTATTACATTTTCTACCAAGCAACATTATATAGATCACGTAAAGTATATTGCCAAATGATAGCGTATTATGTCACCCAAGAGCATCTTGGAATCTACTGTGTTACATCTACAGTATCTATAGTATATAAGGTAAAAGCAGTTTGTCATATCTCATGACAGAAAATTACAGTATATTTTTAGCTGTGCATTTATATTATACAGCAGCAACTGATCTCATCAAGCAATAATGTTATAAACACCCAAGAAATGATCTTCTATCACTTGGAAATGAATGCATTATACCCATCAGAGGCTCCGTGCAGAATACAACAGTATGTTTATATTAGCGATTAGCATGTTATGCTGGTCAGGTACATTTCAGCAATCCCCCCTTGATGCAGTTAAACCACCCACCTTTCTTCAGAGCTGTTATTGCTTCTCTTCCAGTTACTGACCTCTTACAGTCCCATGTCTCCTTTACCTCTTTTCAAAGACCTATTACGTATCCTACTAGTTCTGCTTAATCTGTTGTATGAAGCCACCCTCTGGTTGATTCCTCAGCTACAGGGTGGGGCCTTGTACTGTATCATAGATCAGTGCACTGTAGTTTATTTATGACAGGTACTTGACTAGTGCTGTCAATTTGCGCAGCGCTTTAAATATATATTCATTCACATCAGTCCCTGCTCTCAAGGGGCGTACAATCTAAGGTTCCTAACCCACATTCATACATACACATACTAGGGCCAATTTTAGACAGGAGCCAATTAACCTACCAGCACGTCTTTGGAGCGTGGAAGGAGACCAGAGTACCCGGAGAAAACCCACGCAGGCACAGGGAGAACATGCAAACTCCAGGGCAGATAGTGCCATAGTTGGGATTTGAGCCAATGACCCTAGTGCTGCCAGGCAGAAGTTCTAACCACTTAGCCACTGTGCTGCCTTTATTTTTTGCACTAGATTTACTTTTCATCTAAACTTGATGTCGTGTGACCAGTCAATTTACATCACTGTGGTGGACAGGGAGCTGTGATGTGCACTGAGGAGCATATACGCTCAAGGGCTACATATGTCATTAGGCTTTGCAATCCAAAGCTGCTAGAAGTGTAAGAAGGTATAGTATTTGAGCATAGCAAAGAGAAGATTATTTTTAGTGAGTTCCTGGCTTGCTCAGGAATGGCAACAGGCAGGCATGAGTGCCTCTGCATGCACAGTGAGGCAAAGACTTTTTGGAGGATAGCCTGGTGTCAAGAAGGGCAGCAAAGAAGCCACTTCGCTCCATGAAACACATCAGGGACAGACTGCTATTCTGCAAAAGGTACAGGGATTGGACTGCTCAGGACTGGAGTAAAGTCATTTTCTTTGATGATTACCCTTCCGATTGTTTGGGGAAATCGGGAAAAAAAACCCTGTCTGGGGAAAAAAAAGGTGAGCGCTACCATCAGTCCTGTGTCATGCCAACAGTAAAGCATCCAGAGACCATTCATGTATGGGTTTGCTTCTCAGCCAAGGGAGTGGGCTCACACACCATTTTGCTTAAAAACACAGCCATAAATAAAGAAGGGTACAAAAACATCTTCGAGAGCAACTTCTTTCAACCATCCAAGAACAACTTGTTGACGAACAATGCCTTTTGCAGCATGATGGAGCACCAAGCCATAAGGCAAAAGTGATAACGAAGTGGCTTGGGGAAAAACGAAATTTTTGGGTACATAGCCAGGAAACTCCCCAGACCTTAATTCCTTTGAAAAATTGTGGTCTATTCTCAAGAGGCGGGTGAAAGAAAAAAAAAAAAAACGCAACAAATTCTGACAAATTCCAAGCATTGATTATGCAAGAATAGTCAGGATTGGCCCAGAAGTTGATTAACAGCATGCCAGGGCAAATTGCAGAGGCCTTTGAAAAAGAAGGGTCAACACTGCAAATATTGACTCTTAATGTAATTATCAATAAAAGCCTTTGACACTTATAGTATGCGTGTAGTTATGTTTCAGTATACCATAGTAACAGCTGATCTAAAGATCTAAAAACACTAAAGCAGCAGACTGTTTTTTTACTTTTATATAGTAAAAAAATAACCCAGTGGTTATTAAATACCAGTAAAGGGAAGATTTTAACAGTCTCAAAATATGATTTAAAATTATATAGGTACAGTGTTTTATGAGTAATTGTCAAATCACTGCACTGAAAAAATGACAAATGGCCTGGTAATGAGGATGCATCACAGGAGGTACTCAAGTGAGCAAGCAGTGTTTTTAAAAAGTATGGACGTTTTTACAATTTTAGCTTTTTTTTTTTTTTTTTTTTTGTTAATGATGGTAAACATTTTTTCATTATTTCCAGATAACCCAAACAGTGCTGACATTCTTATGCAATGCAGGTATCAAGGTTCTTCTTTAGCTGCTGTAACCGTCTGGTGCCTGCATTTTATTGTGGTTTGTCAACATGGTATGGGTACTAAGAGATATACTGTGAGGTTAACCACTTGCCCTCCAGAGGATTTACCCCCCTGAATGAACAGGCCTCTTTTTGCTACTCGGCGCTTGCACTAATTCAAACTGATAATTGCAATGCTTGTACCCAAACAAAATGTACATTCCTTTTTTCACACAAATAGAGCTTTCTTAAGTTGGTATTTGATCACCTGTGTGCTTTTTTTTATTTATTTATTTTTTCGCGCTATAAACAACAAAAAAGACCGGAAATTTAGAAAAACAATACTTTTTTACTTTTCAGCTATAAAAATATATATGGTAAAACTCAAAGTTAGTTAGAAATTTAGTCCAAAATGTATTCTGCTACATGTTTTTGGTAAATTAAATCCTAATAAGTGTATATTGATTGCTTTGTGTGAACGTTATAGCGTCTACAAACTATGGTAGAGATACTGCAATTTCCGCCATTTTTTTGCTATACAGCGCTGCACTAGTTTAACGGACAATTGCGCGGTCATGCAATACGGTACATAAATGAAATTTTTCCACACAAATTAGAGCTTTCTTTTCGGTGGCATTTGATCACCTGTGCGGTTTTTATTTTTGGCGCTATAAACTAAAAAAATTTTGAAGAAAAAACATTTTATTTGAAAAGACTATATTTTATCATTTCGGTCATAAAAAATATCCAAAAGAAATTGAAATTTCGTCAAAATTTAGGTCAAAATTGTATTCTGCTACATGGTTTGGTTAAAAAAAAAAATCCCAATAAGTGTATATTGATAGCCTTTGTGTGAAAGTTTTTTATAGCATCTACAATCTATGGTATAGAATGATAATGGAATTTACACAGCTTTTTACATTCTGACTGCCCATCACATTTCTTGAGGTGATAAAATACTCAAGGATAGTACAAACACCCCCAAAATAACCCCTTTTCGGAAAGTAGACACCCTAAGCTATCTGCGGAGAGGCATATTGACTCCATGGAAGTTTTATTTTTTTCCACAAGTTTCTGGAAAATTGACAAAAACTTTTTTTTTTTTTTTACACAAAGTTGTCATTTAAATGATTTATTTCTTGTACAAGCCATGGGTATATGTGGAATTACACCCAAAATTAGATTCTGCTACTTCTACCCGAGTATGGGGGGGTACCACATGTGTGAGACTTTTTGGGAAAAAAGAAAAAAAATTTTTTTTTTTTTCTTTTTTCAAAAACTTGTGGCAACAAATGTGATCTGCAAAATACTCATCATGCTTCTTGTCAAATTCCTTGGGGTGTCTACTTTCCACATAAGGGGTCATTTGGGGTGGGGGGGTTCTTTTTTGGTGCTTATCCTGGCATTTCAGGGCCTCCGTAACTGTGATAGGTAGTCAGGAAGTGTAACGAGGAAATAAAGCCCTTTAAAAGCCTGAAGGTGCTTATTGGATTTTGGGGTCCTGTACTTGGCTAGACTGCCAGAACATCTCTCACATGTGGTGCCCCCATTCTCAGGAGGAAGTAGCAGAATGTATTTTGGGGAGTAATTTCCACATATACCCATGGCATGTGTGAGCAGTAAATCATTTAAGTGTCAATTTTGTGTAAAAAGAAGTTTATGCCACACATCATTCACTCTTCTAACCACCTGAGGATCAAGCCTTTGCTGACACTTTTTGTTCACATGAAAAAAAATATATTTTTTGCTAGGAAATTAATTTAAACCCCCAACATTTTTATTTTTTTTGAAAGCAGATACCCTAGTGATAAAATGTGGGTGCTACAGTTTTGTATGTCACATTAGTACTTGCGCAGCGATTTTTCAAAAGCAAATTAAAAAAAATTACACTTTTTTTTTTTTTTACTTTTAATGCACAAAAACGCACTATATTGGCCAATTATTTGGTAACAATTATAAAAGATGATGGTATGCTGCGTAGTAAATGGATAACAAACATGACATGATTTTAAAACTGGGCATGCCCCGCGCAATGGCGACAAACTGCATACATTATTTAATATCCATAGGCAACGTTTTTTAAAAGCCTTTACAAGCTACCATTTTAGATTTACAGAGGAGGTCTAGTGCTAGAATTACTGCT